TCTATCTATCCTACTTAGTATATATATATATATATATATATATATATATATGTATGTATGTATATGTATTTATATTCTTTTATTATCTTGCCATGGGTCGTTCTCGTTCGTCGTCCCCGGGTTCACAGTGTAGCCTTGAGCAGTCCAACGCACTCTGTGTTAGCGTTCGGCGATATGCCCATGGCACATATATTCTGGCCTGGTTATCAAATCTCAGTTCGATATAATTGGTGGTGTATACGATATATACTTGTACTTGAATATAGATATCTGTGTAATTTTAACATCCTTGGTGGCGTACGATATATACTTGTACTAGTATATAGATATCTGTGTGATTTTAACATCTTCGGTGGTGTAAACGTTATATACTTGTACCCGTATATAGATATCTGTGAAATTTTAACATCCTCGGTGGTGTATACTATATATACTTATACTCATATACAGATATCTGTGTAATTTTAACATCTTTGGTGGTGTACGATATATACTTGTACTCATATAGATATCTGTGTGATTTTAACATCTTCGGTGGTGTACGCTATATACTTGTACTTGAATAGTGTACGACTGAAATTACGGCTGCGAGTACGACTGTTTCACTACCAGCGGTGGGTCTGTCTTTGTTGTCCTAGTCAAATATAGGTTGCTCCTCTCTTGCTAACCCATTTTGCTAGCATCCGCTCGGATCGCTAGAGCTCAGATTTGGGTCTGAAATATGTCGTCTTTAAGATCAATTTCGAGACATACCCAATCTCTGACCACCGTTTAGCCGGTTCTTCCACAGTTTGCTTATGCATGTACCGTTGCGCGTGAGTCTGTATTCTGGGTTCGCCAGCCCTTTCTCGTAGACCAACCAATACATAGCCAACTCTCACACTTCCCATCTCATCCACTTTCTGGCTGTTGTAAGGTATACTGATCTCGTTGGGCTAAGACACGTATTCGTGGCTTTCCGGCCTATCTCCATGCTACATCCCCAATCCCCCTGAAGACTGTGCTAAATCATAAATGGGTCTGTAGCATCGCATATCCAGCCGATCCTCGTCCTACACTAACGATTTGTGTCCTATATGTCAACGATTCCCAAACATACGTAGTCTGCAAGAATCGGGTCTCCATTGGTTTTTTGGTTTAGTCTTTCGTCCTCCGATGGCAGTTCGTCGCCGTGACGTGTAGTGAACGATTTCTTCCCTACGTTCTAATGATACCTAAACATGAGTAGTTTGCAAGAAATGGGTCTGCTTTGGTGATTTGGTATCTATCCTCGCCAAACATGCGCAGGCTGTAAGAATTGGGTCTACATTGGTGATTTGGTATCCACCCTCTCAAATATGCGTAGTCTGCAAAAACTGGGTCTGCATCGGTAATTGGTATCCATCCTCTCCAAATATGCGTAGTCTGCAAAAATTGGGTCTGCATTGGTGATTTGATCCGTCCGCTCCGAAAATGAATAGTCTGCAAGAATTGGGTCTGCATTGGTGATTGGTATCCGTCCTCTCCAAACATGCGTAGCCTGTAAGAATTGGGTCTGCATGGGTGATTGGTATCCATCCTCTCCAAATATGCGCAGCCTGTAAGAATTGGGTCTGCATTGGCATTTCGGTACTTAGTTCTTCCATCCTCCGTTGCAGTTAATCGCGGTGGCGTACGGTGATGTGCGGTGCGGCATAGCATTGGTAGCCTATTATTTTGGCCATGTAGCACAGCCCTTCAGTTTCAATGCCGTCGTAGCCGCCCTGAAAAGTTCGGTACATGATGGGGGTGGTGGTTCTATGAATTAAACTGGGGTGGGTGAGTTATGACGAGTACTGGGGTGGATGTGCTATGAATAAATAGGGGTACGGGCTATACAAATAAAACTCCAAGAGTTGCTTGCTTAGCTCTACTGTTTCAAAACATCTTGGACAGGAGGCTTAGAGCTTAGGGTTTAGGGTTTTAAGGTTTTATCACAAGTTAGGCACGGCACGCCCACACCCGCCTGGCGTCACTATGAACGAGATGATGTTATACACGCACCAGCCGTAACGACTTTACACTCACTCTTACACACGCCACATACACATACACACACAGAGAGAGAAAAGCCCCAACATACGCACAAACACGCCAACAACATACAACATCACACACATAAACGCACACGCATGACCTTAGGGTGATCCTACAGCAACATACAACATCACACCCATACACACCCTGCCATTCCATGTGGCTCCGATCACATTCATGACTGGGAAGTTGATCCCGTTGCAGTGGACCTCTGCATTGACCAACAACACAGTGGCACCCACCGACTCAATCTCCACCAATCTGTCTACAGTCGCGTGCATTAGTTCATTGAGGTGCTTGTGCCTGGCTTTCTTGTCTGGCCGAGGTACGTAACCCGGATACGATCCGGACTGAAGGTGATGGGGGTATGTGGGTATGAGAGAAATGGATGAGGGATGTGAGGAGATACGGATGTGAGACATGGGTTTGGGAATATAAGGGTATGGGAATATAAAGTTATGGGAATATAATAAGAGTATGGGAATATAAGGGTATAAGGATAGGGAGAGACAGGGATCTCAGACAAGGACCTCAGACAAGGATAAGAAGTGGAAGGGGGGGGGGGGGGTTGCGTGTAGCACTGTACCTGCAACTGACGAAGTGGCGGTTTGGTCCTTCGGCCTTTCCATGAGTTGAGGTCGTACTCTCTGATCTTTCCCGTGTCTGTTCTGAACAAGCATCGGGGACTATATATAGATAGTGGTCACGTGCGTCAAGTTAGAGTGACATGTGTCAAGTTAGTGTGACATGTGTCAAGTTAGTGTGACATGTGTCAAGTTGGTGTCAGATGTCATGACTATTTACTATTGCTTTTTGAAATCGGATTTAGTGTGACTGATATCTCACAGTTATCTGTCCTGAGCACTCATCTGGTCAGTACAAAGTACCTACTAGCAACCGGGAATTAATGCAGTATGTGAACAGTGTCAAGTGTCACGTGTCAAGTGTCAGATCTGAACCCGGTACACATAAGTAGACGACAAATTCCGAGCAAACCCGTATATGGAAGAAACAGTCACACTCTACATATAATTTGGGGTGATGTTACCTTATAAAAAAATATTTGATGCACAACTACGTCACGAGCTCTACATTAACTGTGGGCCAATGCTATAGGATTAAGCATACAACCTGGACTGGAGTAGCAGGCTAGCCTACATACGCGCTCATACAAGTTAACCTCAGCACACAACACTGTGACATGGCAGATGAACTCTATAAATCTTAGCAACCTAAACTCTTGGCGAGAGTTTACACAAAGATACAGTTGTTGGCCATTTTACATATATACCATTGATATAGGACGTCTTCTACTTACACGACAATGGGTTTGTTAAAGGCCAGTAGGGTGGGCAGGACATCGGGTCCAACGTCCACCATATCGTCATCGATCCACAGCACATAATCGATATCGCAGCCCAATTCTGGAACAAAATATAGTGTGTACGACCAATTTAATTCAATTCTGGGACAGAATATTAATCATGTCGAAATTCTGGGACAGAATATTGTGCACACGACTAATTTAGTCCAATTCTGGAACAGAATTTGTGCATGCAACCAATTTAGTCCAATTCTGAGACAGAATATAGGGCATACGACTAATTTAGTCCAATTCTGGGTCGAAAATTTGTGAATAAAACTAATATAGTCAAATTCTGGGACAGAATATTGTGCATACAACTAATTTAGTCCAATTGAACCAGAATGCTGTGCATATGACCAATCTAGTCCAATTTGGGGCAAAATATTGCGCATACGGCCAAGTCAGTATGCTGTAGCAGCATGGGTGTTTGTAGTTGAGACTGTTCATTGCTCATCCGGGTAAAGACTACCCTGTTACTAAGTATTGTACTGCAAGCATCGCTCATTCCTATGCACAGATACTACTCGAGCTATTTATAGCTCAGATCTACCATGACATCGAACGACCTGAACCTGCGGAGATATATTCACGTTAAACACACCTGCGGAGATGAATGTGTTACGATACATTGCCAGCATACTATGTCTCATACTTGAATTTAACGTACCCCACAAACCATCATATAATACAAAGATGAAGGAAAACAATAGACATAGCCCCAAACCCCTTTCAATCCTACACGTTAATCATACCTGCGGATGTGAGTATGTTACGATATATTGACAACATACTACGCCTTATTAATTGTATTTAACATACCCCACAAGCTCTCATATAATACAAAGATGAAGGAAAACAATAGACATAGTCTCAAACCCCCTTTAAACCTACACGTTAATTACACCTGCGCAGATGAGTGTGTTCCGATACATTGACAGCATACTACGTCTCATCACTTGAATGTTATCGGCGTGGCGATCGGACCCAACACTCACATGGTAGTCTCGGCAGATAGCCCGGATTTGATGCTGAAATAAACAAACACAATTACGACATCGAGTGAGCTATGGATTAATAAAACAAACACACTCACAACATCAAGTGAGCTATGGACTAATAAAACAAACACACACCCAACATCGAGTGAGCTATGGGTTGTAGTGACAAGCTGGCTCAGATTTTGATGCTGATTAAATGAACATTTTCACAAGCAACGAGCGAGGTCACTCCGTGTACACTAGACTGCCTTACCCCTCGGCACATAGCCTACCAGGGCAAAGTGGTCCCCCCACTCTCTATCAATCATAACCCACAACATAGACTGTCCACCACTGGCTATGACTAAGGCTAATAACACCAATCGTCTACCCTCGCCATTCACTACAGCCAATAATAATACTGATATCATCGATATATACCACTCAGGCGCATACAACCACACTCACCCCTGTCACACACGCACATATCCTCCAGGCGTATGACCCATGGCGCGGACCCGCTCACAGAGCTCTGGCTCCGAAATTAACATATGAATGGACATCAGGTCGGAGGGGTGGTGGAAGCTGTCAATCAGAGCAGTGTAGTTGTCCACAGTTCGGTTGTCACCAAACCCCGTGCTATCCTGTGGTAAGCGTGCACACGTGGGTGGATGGGAGTGGGGTGTGTGAAGTGTACGGACGATCAACAGCATACATAGGAGCGGATAGTACAACAGGGTATTTATGTGGTCATTCTCGGATGAATAGAATAATACAATGTGACCATGTTCCCTCACTACAATCACTCACTACACTTACTCACTCACTACACTCACTCACTATACTCACTCGTTATACTCACTCACTCATTACGCTCACCCACTACACTCACTCACTATACTAACTCGTTATACTCACTCACTCATTACGCTCTCCCACTACACTCACTCACTCACTCTACTCACTCACTACACTCACTCACTACACTCACTCACTCACTCATTCACTCACTACACTCACTCACTCACTCATTTATTCACTCACTACACTCACTCACTCACTCGCTCACTACACTCACTCACTCATTACACTCACTCATTCACTCACTCACTCACTCACTACACTCACTCACCCACTCTACTCACTCACTACATTCACTCTACTCACTCACTCACTCACTCACTACACTCATTCACTACATTCACTCCTACTCACTCACTACACTCACTCACTCACTCACTCACTCACTCACTCTACTCACTCACTACACTCACTCACTCACTCACCCACTCTACTCACTCACTCACTTACTCACTCTACTCACTCACTCACTCACTCTACTCACTCACTACACTCACTCACTACACTCATTCACTACACTCACTCACTACATTCACTCCTACTCACTCACTACACTCACTCACTACACTCACTTACTCACTCACTCACTCACTCACTCACTACACTCACTCACTCACCTATTACACTCACTTACTACACTCACTCACTCACTA